TTTTTTTTTTTAAATCAAAGACCATGACATGACACGGAAACTACGGACCTGCCCGATTTGAAATGGAACCACCCGTGGATAGTTTGTTGGTGGTTCGATGTGAGCTACAGTGACATTGATACTTACGACCCTGAGAAATTTCATCTGCATTGTATTCAAATTATGACAAAACGGGAATCGGTTTGGCGTTGTTAGCGACGAAGTCCCTTTCAAGCAAGTGCAATTCTGAGCGGTCAGAGGCTCTAGGAGGTTTTCCCTATTCGATGAACATCCAGAATTCCGTCTACGCATTTCACTAAGGGAGAGGAAATTTTGCCTTACGTTAAATTTTGATTGAATTACTAATTCGTGGAAATTCAACTGCATACATACTCCTGTTTCATGAAATAAAACACGCATATATTGATAAATGTATCCCCAAATCCGTATGCCCTCAAGTGAAGAGCATATTGCAATCTGTATCTCAACGGGAAAGGAAATACATGATAGCGAAAAAATATTGGTTAAAAGAAACGCAAAAAAAAAGAGAATTGGTCGGATAAATTAGAATGCACCTTAATGAACCTTTTTTTGCTCCCGAGTCCCGTCAACCTTGAAACGGAAAAGTCGAGATGCATCGAAGATGCATGAAAGCGAAGTCCAAGGCTTACACGAAGGACCGATCGGATAAATTAGAATGCACCTTAATGAACCTTTTTTTGCTCCCGAGTCCCGTCAACCTTGAAACGGAAAAGTCGAGATGCATCGAAGATGCATGAAAGCGAAGTCCAAGGCTTACACGAAGGACCGTTTTATATTCAAACTTCTGGCCGCAGACACTCCTCCCCGCTTCCGTTGATTGCACTAGATCTGGTCGTATTATGCCTTCGACTTTTATTTTCACAAAGCTGGAAATATGAAATCAAAGCTGATCGGTTCACTGAATAGAATTACGTGATGATAGCGTCAGAGGCGAGAGAAAAAGCCTGGAGTTGCGACGTTACACTCGGTCTCGACCGTTGAGGCCGAGCGGCCGTAGGTAGGTAGAATAAGTACTTTGCGCTGCTTTTTCAAATCAGGACACATTTATTAAAAAAAGGGAAAGGTGCACCTGGCCTTAGCTAAGCGTCAGACCTCTTTGATTCAGGAGACGCGTGGAGTCAGGCAACCATCGACTTGAGGAAGTAGAGGGTGCACTGCAAGGACTACCAGTTTTGGCAACACTGCGAGGCGTTCAGTCTAGCGGTCGGCTGCCTGCGAGACTTTCTCAGTGACGGTGCTTTTACTCGAGCCTGGGGCTTTCGTGATTCGGGGCAATTGTAAGTTAATTTTTTTCCGTGATCTTGATCTTCAAGGAATGCTTCTGCATGCCAAAAAATCACATTGCCTTCTGCATCCGCTCTCCGTGTGCTGCGCCTGTCAGTGCTTGCATAAATGAAGTTCAAACTATTCTGATTCGGAATTTAAAAAAAAACAGAACTTTCATCTCATGGATTGCATTTCGGAGATTAAATCATTCTGAGATGGAAGTATCAAAACTGGTTACTATGGTATCTTAAGTATTAGTACCTGAGTCCAGCGAATGCTTTATTTATAGCATTCTACAAAGGACCTGTACAGGACTTACCTTTTCTTTCCAAATCTATGAAAGAAGTCCGCTACGAAAGCATGATCTGGAACCATGTTCGTGGACTGCATCTGAAACACCTGATGAACTTTCCCATATGCTTGTTTGCTTAATTTATAGTTCCGTGTGGCATAGGTTGTGCAATCGAAGAGGAACAGGCAGCAGAACAATGTCGCCAAAAGGTAAAATCAAGTTGAATCAAAGGAACGATCGAAAATGGAATGAAAAGGAAAACTGGATGGAACGCGGCTGTCGCAATAAGCGAAGCTACTTTTGAAATATGGCGAAACAAATTTCGAAAAGCTTTCCCCTTTCTTCAGACATCTCATACCTCCCCTCTTATCCCTTCGCCTAGCCCAAATCCCAGTCTCTTTCCATGGGACTCGGTGCACTGTAAGGGCAAGGCATACCCTCTTTCGCTCAAAATAATCTAAACCCTCAACTCACGAGGCGAATCAAGGCCATGAGAGTCAACGCGCGATTTTTGAGACGTCCCGGCATGGAAGCGTAGTTGGGACGATTGTAGTCCTATTCCGACTTACACGATCCATTTCAGAGAGGACGTCGTGTCCATCTGGAATTTCTCATATATTCAAATATCAGTGAGAAACCTGTGACCTTACCCCATATGTTGATTGCACTCCAAGTAGATCGATCATCGCTAAAGACGCTTTCATTCCCCTACATATACAATCTCAATTTTGGTAGCGTTAGAAAGGGCATAACATAAGCTTTTGAATAAATTATTGAAACGAAGAATTCCAGAGGTGGCAAGTGTCGCTTTTCAACACTGAATATGATGAAACCGTTCGGTCACGTGGAATTTTTTGTTTTATCTTTGAAGAAAGATGGCGATTTAGCAATTAAAATGACTCCAGAATGAAACTTCAATTTTAATTAGAAGAAAATTTATTGCAGAAACAGTTTCAGAATTCCTGTATGGGCAGAGGGAATCAAAAATAGGCATCAGTCAAATGCATGTATCAGGAGATTGGGGTGATATATAACAAATTGGCTGAAATTAGTTTCTTTAAATCGATTCCGCAACATGTATGGCTATTTTTGCCCAATTCGGTGCTGGTCGAACTGAGGGTCTGGTCGTTTGGCGTGGGATTGAATGTGGATTGTGGGATGGGAATTGGCGCGGAATGACCCTTATTTTAAAAAAATGGTTGACTAACAAGAGAGATTTTTTTCCCATGAATTGGTGCTGATGCATATATTGAAATTCCCTTTCGTCACAGAATGTGGATTGTGGGATGGGAATTGGCGCGGAATGACCCTTATTTAAAAAAAATGGTTGACTAACAAGAGAGATTTTTTTCCCATGAATTGGTGCTGATGCATATATTGAAATTCCCTTTCGTCACAGGGAGATGGAGTATTCCGTCATGTTGGGAGCGTTTTCTTGCTTCTTCTGGGCTGTATCTGCCATAGAACCCTGGATCTATTGGCCAACGCACCATGGGAAACGGTACGGGACCGTGTCCATGGAATTCCAGGTGGCTGACTTCGCGGAATGCAACAACACGTGCGTCTGGAAAGACCTCAAGGTCGTCACGATGCGAAAGTTGAAGTCCCTTAGCCTACCAAGGACAGTCGACCAAATGCTCTCGTTCCGGGTCGAGCAGGGTCGCCTTCCCAAGCTCCGCATGCGGGTTACACTCATGCTGGAGAAAAAATCCAGTGTGATAACCAGTATATAATTACAATGCTAGCTCTTCGCTGTTTCATAGTGTCTTCGTACACATTTTAAAAGTTTATTTAAAGCCTTTTCCCACAAAAAGCAATCACTATGTTTCTATTTTGTCCTACCCACTTTTACCCCACTTGTAATTTTTCAGAGTGAGGAAAGTGAAGAAAACGAGGGAAAAGCATTGGGGAATTATTTTTCAGTTTTAACCTATTTGAATGCAAATATTCTGAGATTCCCCTGACTGTGAACCATTTTGAATAATCTGAAAACAAATGAAAAAAGTGCATTGAATGCAATAATGCAGAAACAGCCGGCTTTAGAAGCTCTCTTGAAATGAAATAATTAAAAAGAAAGATCACTTATTAGATGTTTCTCGTGTATACGGGTGAACGATCAAACAAAAGCATGAAACCTTTGAGCTCATGCTTCTAGCTACTGAATTGATGACTCAGTTTTGTCCGCACTTTTCTTTCTTGAATTTTGATTCATTTCGAAGTTCTCTGCTTTCCATTCACGTTTTTCTGTTTTCAGACGTCGATTCAAGATGCTCATCCACATATCTGTTTGGCCATTCATGTACTTTTTCTTTTTTCGTTTCCTTGTCTACCACTTGGCATCTGGCATTTGTATTACTTCCGATTTCATTATCACAAATTTTAGCATTTTCTTCTCTTCCCCGTCTCACTTGTTATCTTTCTCTTTTTTGTCTCCCTGATTTACCCTGCCGATACTAGGGATATTTATGTTCCTTTTAGTGTCTTTCATTATTACCATCATCGACTCATGTACGTGGTGGGCAAACAAGCAAAAATAAACCTGAAAAAAATCCCATATCGTATATTGATTTCAGCCGTTGCCGTTTGTTGGCTTCTTACATTTTTTAAAATCGTTTTTCGGAAAAAAATATGAAGTGGAAGCCATGTTTACTTGGGTCATTTTCTCGGTCTTTTGTGCTCTCACAACTAATACAGTCATCTGCCTGACGGACTATCCGAGGATCGAGAACGCGAAGGAGTCTTATTTGAATTGGACGGGCAAGTATCCAGCACCGGAAGGCGCAATGGTGCTTTTCACCTGCGCAAAGAATTTCACCGACAATATCAGTGTGCACAATGCAAGATGCTGCGCCAGCATTCCGGATGTCTGGTGCTCGACATTCTCGAAAGATGAGGAGGCCTTCATCTGCCCACCATAATGTGAGAATGCTATTTCAAATTTTGTCCGTCAAGACGCTATCATCTCCGAATGATTTTGTGTGTGTACTGAGTACCTTTGCATATTTCTGACCGCGACCAAGAATATAATTGTGTAATTGTTTTCCATTGCAGGGTGATAATGTTGAGGATCAACAGAAAAGCAGCAGGAATCGGGGTAATGAGTAGACGAAAAGGTCCCTTCTCCACATCTTGGGGTTTCACCATTCCTTGAACATCTTTCACGCAAATGGACTCTTCAATGACAAAGCCCACTTGGTCAATGCATTGTCATATTGTGTGCGTAGTATTCATCCTTCCTGTGGTTTCATTTGCACTTAAAGGACTCCTTGTCCTATCGAGTGTCTTTTGACTCATGTCTCCCTTAGAACTAGCGATAGCTGGGAAATAAACGCATATTTGTGACGGAAGCATTTCAGTGATGAATATTTTTCGACAATTTAGAATCATGCCGTCTTAAATGTGCCGAATTCAATGTAGATGCCTGAAACCTCTTCGATTAAGTTTGTTACCCTTCCCCACCCCCCTCCCAACAAGACTTTCAATTATCTTTTCTGTCTCTTGTAAAACTATTGTTGACGAGGAATTCGAGTATGAAATAACTAAAAGACGTTCATTTCATGATTTTTAAGTTTGTGGATATTAAGGAAATGGAAGTTACTTACGTTGCTGGCGATGGGCTACCAGCATGGAAGGGTAATTCCGCAATTGGTATACGATGGGCATTCAATAAGCATTGATATTTAACGTGTTTTTCTTATCCATTTACTGCTTCCCCCCCCCCCCCGAATGTGAAAGGTACTTTTGGATGTTTGTATACCAAGTTACAGTTTTCAGTTGTGAATATTTTACTGTCGTCTTAATGTTAGGTCCAATCGCTTTCATACTTTTGACATAGGCGAATTCCATCTGTCTCAAATTGTAACAAATGGGTCATTATTTGGCATTGTGGGAAATGAAGTTTCTCCTCAAGCATTCCTAGACTTCAGAGGCTCTTTGAGGGGCTTCTCCCTGTATGATGACCATTAACGATTTAGTTTCAACGAATTTCGCTCAGGGAGAGAGCATTTTTGTAACGACTCAAGGTCTGGTGAATTTCCTATGGTAAATAAAAAAAAAGCACTAAAAGTTGAAGTTGCTCGAGCCCTCTCGAATACTCACATCTCAAATATAGCCAAATTCAGTTTATTCTGGGGTCTCATCAGGAACGGTAAATACCATCCTGCACTTTCATCTAAAAGTGCAAATATCAAGTCATGAACCGTTTTGCATAAATTGAGGGCCCTGCGAAAGTCATCTGTTGCGTATCACTGGATGTAAAATGTAACTGACAGCAAACTATTCGCACTAGATTCATGCCACTTCGCATGCACACATCCAAAAACTTTATATACGAGGAGGAAAAAATAACAGTGCATGAATAACACCATGGGAAATACAATGAATTTTAGAGTTTCCGTCATACATAATTGAGCGATTGCTTAATCGTCATGTATTTTCCGGAAACGGTCAGGGACACTACTAAAACAGCAGCGGCTGGTCAAGACGAAATGCTGTCTCCGGTTCCTGGCCATTTAGTCTACTACGGTTCATCTAGAATCGTGATTCACATTGCGGTGGACTTTGTGCGTATGCACTTTGCTCATTTTCAGCTATAAATAACCAAGCCAGTAAATTTCTAACGAAACGCTTCCTCTGTATACCTCACAGGCATTTTGATTGCATGGTCAATGCGGGCCTAAAAACCTGAAAATATGACGAACATGTAAACAGAGCGTCTAGCTCAAATATAATGCATGGCATGTGATGCGCAGATTCCAGCTCTTATTCAAACTTCTTTAGAAGAGGAGCTGGAAAAACGGAGGACACGTAATACATATACAAAAACATACCTGTTATGCTACCTTCCTTCATGTAGAAGCTCTCCGATACGGTGGACACTATGCGGTTGTCACTCGAGTACCTTTCGCGGCGTGACACGTTCATTAGACTACACTGAATCTGGGCTTGCAAATTGAGAGAATTCAGCATATTCCTCATTTTTTATTGAAGAGACAGAAGGACACTTGGAAAAATACGACCTCTGGGTTCGGTATTCATGACCTCAGTGAGGCATACTTTTTCCATGAGCTCATTCTTTCCAGTAGTAAACCTTTCTCCAAATATGAGGTTTTCAACGAGATCATCACCGGTGAAATTTTAGGAGTCTGCGGCGGCTGCCCGGCCGTCCGATTTCGTTCATGAGTTGTTTAAACCCCAGCCCAGCGTCCACGCGACGCCTGTGCTTTCTTTGAAGAGAAAGCCCTTGGCCTTGCAGGAGAGAGAGAGGAATGAAGGCATCTTATTCATACAGGTCTCTATTGACAGCGCGTATGGGATTTCCAATATATTTCCCATTCTTCCAGTTAATACTGATTACTTATATTTTCACCATCGACATTAAATTAAAGGACTGAGATTCCCCTCACAAGGAAATGCACAAAAGGCCTGCGCCTCCATCCACAGAACCCAGCAATAGACGATTAAAGTCGATTGCCACCGTTTTTTCATTTAAACATTCACAAATAAAACCACTATTTCTGTACCGTTAGATTAATGGGCAATATGTCCAATTTTTGTAATCAAACATTTTCTGCTCTCTCCACTTTTGATTCACGCCAAAACGTGTTTTAAAGTAAATGCATGAGCAAATAAAACCATGCGATTCTCTCATAGCCGTCAAAAATTCCCCCGAGAAACAAACCGGTTAAGGGTTAAATATCCTCACGCATTTTCCACTGAAGTGGAAGTTTTCTTGCAAGAGACATCACTACCGAAGAGAATTTCAGTGACGGTGCAAGCCAAAACCGTCAGATCGATTCCATCCGCCTCACGAATCCGTCACGATGACGGGACGATTCGTGACCGCGCAACATTCCCGCCCGCCGTCGCCTGACCCACTCGGCGGGCGGAAGCGACATCCTCTGCATGGGGAATGGACACCGGCCTGGTCGAATCGGAAACGACCAGGATTCTCAGAGGAATTCAGGTGAGTCTTGCAAGTCTTTCTTGCTTGAGCGCTGCTCGGTTGCGAAACTCGTGGATTAGGGTGTTTCCTGGAATGAGACGCCATGTGCATTTGGGAAAGCCCCCTTTACGAATCGAGGGGATCCTACGCACGGCACTTGCCTGGATCAGAGGCTCTCTTTATGTATAACTATATTTCTTTGATACATTTTTTGTTAATATTTATTTGATTGCCGATCACTCGGTGGTGATCCGTTCAAAATATCGTGAGGAATATTGGTATGACATGCACTGACGGAATTAGGTCAACACCTTTTGTATTAGAGCAGCACTATAGCATTTTACAAGACGAACTTAACTAGCCCAATTTTATCCAACCTAGCCATGCCCGACCCAGCCAATGTAGTGCTAGGGTCAGGATAGTATTTTGCCTAGCTCAGTGGGTCCGAAAATACAAGGACAATTGAGGCTTTCCAGCTAATCTATTCAACTTGACACTACAAGGCCTTCTATCCCATTTCAAATTCAATAAAATAAATAAATGTGAGACACAACATCACACCTAGGCGAATGACGCACATGATGAAACAGATGACTGCAGCAATGGTTTGGCTTAACAGCCAGGCAAAAATTCAGCTGGTAGGCACTGGCCATTCACCCAGAGGACACTCTCAGCTTCCCTTGAATAGGCCTAACAGCCTTCAACAACTTCAGTCGATGGACGCGTGGCCATGAGCATGCCCTTCTAAAATGCTGGTCACATGAGCAATTTTTATAAGCAAGGTGGACGGATGAAGATGGAAGATTTGTGTAGATGACGGGGATTCGGACGACTGCAGGAAGACCTCAGAAAGTTCTCAGCTAACTACTCCCANCCTCTCGAATACTCACATCTCAAATATAGCCAAATTCAGTTTATTCTGGGGTCTCATCAGGAACGGTAAATACCACCCTGCACTTTCATCTAAAAGTGCAAATATCAAGTCATGAACCGTTTTGCATAAATTGAGGGCCCTGCGAATGTCATCTGTTGCGTATCACTGGATGTAAAATGTAACTGACAGCAAACTATTCGCACAAGATTCATGCCACTTCGCATGCGCACTTCCAAAAGCTTTATATACGAGGAGGAAAAAATAAGAGTGCATGAATAATAACACCATGGGAAATACAATGAATTTTAGAGTTTCCGTCATACATAATTGAGCGATTGCTTAATCGTCATGTATTTTTTTCCGGAAACGGTCAGGGACACTACTAAAACAGCAGCGGCTGGTCAAGACGCAATGCTGTCTCCGGTTCCTGGCCATTTAGTCTACTACGGTTCATCTAGAATCATGATTCACATTGTGGTGGACTTTGTGCGTATGCACTTTGCTCATTTTCAGCTATAAATAACCAAGCCAGTAAATTTCTAACGAAACGCTTCCTCTGTATACCGCACAGGCATTTTGATTGCATGGTCAATGCGGGCCTAAAAACCTAAAAATATGACGAACCTGTATACAGAGCGTCTAGCCCAAATATAATGCATGGCATGTGATGCGCAGATTCCAGCTCTTATTCAAACTTCTTTAGAAGAGGAGCTGGAAAAACGGAGGACACGTAATACATATACAAAAACATACCTGTTATGCTACCTTCCTTCGTGTAGAAGCTCTGCGATACGGTGGACACTATGCGGTTGTCACTCGAGTACTTTGACACGTGACACGTTCATTAGACTACACTGAATCTGGGCTTGCAAATTGAGCGAATTCAGCATATTCCTCATTTTTTATTGAAGAGACAGAAGGACATTTGGACAAATACGACCTCTGGGGTCGGCATTCATGACCTCAGTGAGGCATACTTTTTCCATGAGCTCATTCTTTCCAGTAGTAAACCTTTCTCCAAATATGAGGTTTTCAACGAGATCATCACCGGTGAAATTTTAGGATTCTGCGGCGGCTGCCCGGCCGTCCGATTTCGTTCATGAGTTGTTTAAACCCCAGCCCAGCGTCCATGCGACGCCTGTGCTTCCTCTGACGAGAAAGCCTTTGGGCTTGCAGGAGAGAGAGGAATGGAGGCATCTTATTCATCCAGTTAAGACTGATTACTTATATTTTTCCCATGGACATTAAATTAAAGGACTGAGATTCCCCTCACACGGAAATGCACAAAAGGCCTGCGCCTCCATCCACAGAACCCAGCAATAGACGATTAAAGTCGATTGCCACCGTTTTTTTCATTTAAACATTCACAAAT